GAAGATGGCCATTCAATGTAACTCAAGAGTTGGCCAAATAGGCAGAACATAACCAACCAAGACAACTCACAATTCGCCTCGCCAACAGACCAGAACCAACACGAAAAACGACAGGCGGTCTTTCTCCCACTGGCCTTCTCTACAGCCAGAGACTATCTGAAAAGCGCACTGGAGTCTAAAGGGCCAGGTTAATCCCAATACAAGCTGTCAAATCGCTCGGAGCAAACAATGACACCCTTTGCCCCATCCAACAGGGAAAAAATAGAGGGGCTTCCTTTCTCCCAACCCCTGGACCTCCGTACAGCAAATCCAGGAACTTGAAGCAGCATATTTTTAGATAAATAGTTTAGCCAACACTTTTGCTCTGAGTAAAAAGTTATTTTGCTATCTGAACAATTGCAACATTCACACTTGCCTCCAACAGACAAGAGTTCTTTCTCCCACCCTGGACCTTCTACAGCCAGGCTTTGAAGCTGCGAGGCCATTCAATGCTAATCAAGGTGGCCAATGGCAGCATTCACACTTGCCTCCAACAGACAAGGGTTCTTTCTCCCACCCTGGACCTTCTACAGCCAGACTTTGAAGCTACAAGGCCATTTAATCCCAATCAAGCTGTCCAATGGCAACATTCACACTTGCCTCCAACAGACAAGAGTTCTTTCTCCCACCCTGGACCTTCTACAGCCAGGCTTTGAAGCTGCGAGGCCATTCAATGCTAATCAAGGTGGCCAATGGCAGCATTCACAATTGCCTCCAACAGACAAGGGTTCTTTCTCCCACCCTGGACCTTCTACAGCCAGACTTTGAAGCTACAAGGCCATTTAATCCCAATCAAGCTGTCCAATGGCAACATTCACACTTGCCTCCAACAGACAAGAGTTCTTTCTCCCACCCTGGACCTTCTACAGCCAGGCTTTGAAGCTGCGAGGCCATTCAATGCTAATCAAGGTCCAATGGCAACATTCACACTTGCCTCCAACAGACAAGAGTTCTTTCTCCCACCCTGGACCTTCTACAGCCAGGCTTTGAAGCTGCGAGGCCATTCAATGCTAATCAAGGTGGCCAATGGCAGCATTCACAATTGCCTCCAACAGACAAGGGTTCTTTCTCCCACCCTGGACCTTCTACAGCCAGGCTTTGAAGCTGCGAGGCCATTCAATGCTAATCAAGGTGGCCAATGGCAGCATTCACAATTGCCTCCAACAGACAAGTGTTCTTTCTCCCACCCTGGACATTCCACAAATATATGAACCCTACTTGCCTAATTTCCAACTGACCCCACAACTTCTGAGGATGCCTGCCAAGATATGAGCTCCTGGAACAGAGGGGTTTAGCTGAGGAGAAAAAAAGAGCAACCATTACCAAGCGCGCGCCGCGCCGGGGCTGGAGAGGATTCTTTCTCCCGAGATGTGCTGCTCCTGCCTTAAAGAGACAGCACACTGTTTTTCTCTCTCCCTCTCCTTTCGGCACGTAAGTTGCTTCAGCCGCCCCTTACAGTACTTCACTCACTATGCAGGAGGAGGAGGAGTGTTGGAAAACGGGGAGAGGGGAAAGAGGGCGGGGAGAGCAGCCCAGGCCGGGAAAGAGGGGAATGGCACCAGCAGCCTCCATCTTATTAACGAAAGGAGCTGAAGCTCCTAAAATATATGGGGCTGCTGTTTCGATATTTTTAAACCCTTCCGGGTTTAAAAGTATGTTTTGATATCGTTCTGTTATTAATAAAAATAACAAAACATTAACGAAATAACGAAATAACGAACAAAAACCGACAGGCCTACTATTTACCTGTCTATTTATTACAACATTTGTGCTGTTTTAAACTTCTGTTTAATTTTGTATTAAACTGTTAAAAGCAACTGTTAAAATTGATTTAAGAGTTTAAAACAAAATTAAAACATTAAAATAATTGAACCAGATTAAATATATGTATTGCAAAATTTATCAGGTTAAAGCATGTTTAAAAAGTTAAAGTTTACAAATATGTACATGGATATTTGGAGTATATCAATTAACCTTTGGTTATTAACTTTAATGCCATGTTTTCATATACTGCTGAAATAATGCCAACATCAATGCCACTGGGTCTCCAAAGGGAAACCATTTCACAACTAGAGTGTCACAGCTAAGAACGCCTTCTTCCACATAATATCAGTACTATGATCTCAAGCTGTTTAGGGTTTTCCATGTCACCATAAATTATCAGACTGAAAGCACATTACAGTATAATTCCATGTTTCTCAATGAATCTGTATGTTATTCTGGCCAACAATCTAACTCAGCCTTTCTCAACCTGGGGGTCGGAACTCCTGGAAGGGGGGGGTCACCAAAGATCATCGGAAAACATTAGTATTTTCTGTTGGTCATGGGGGTACTGTGTGGGATGTTTGAACCAATTCTATCATTGGTGGAGTTCAGAATGCTCTTTGGATGTAGGTGAACTATAAATCCAAGCAACTACAACTCCCAAATGTCAAGGTCTATTTTCCCCAAACTCCACCAATGTTTACATTTGGGCATATAGAGTATTTGTGCCAAGTTTGGTCATTATTTGAGTCCACAGTACTCTTTGGATATAGGTGAACAACAACTCCAAAACTCAAGGTCAATGCCCACCAAACCCTTCCACTATTTTTTGCTGGTCATCAGAGTTCTGAGTGCCAGGTTTGATTCAATTACATTATTGGTAGAGTTCAGAATGCTCTCTGATTGTAGGTTAACTATAAATCTCAGCAACAACTCCCAAATGACAACATCAACCCTCCCCCCCCCCCACCGACCCCACCAGTATTCAATGTTGGGCATATCAGTTATTTGTTCTAAATTCGGTCCAGTGAATGAAAATACATCCTGCATATTGGATATTTACTTAATGATTCATAACAGAAGCAAAATTACAGTTATGAAGTAGAAACAAAAATAATTTTTTTGGCTGGGGGTCACCACAATATGGGGAATTGTATTAAGGCGTTTGGCATTAGGAATGTTGAGAAACACTGATCTAGCTGTTTTACACCACTTGTAGCTTCTGAGTTATCTTCGAATCAAAACGTAACCAGCATTTGAAATACATCAATTAAATTATCCCAATCCATGGAAATTGATGGACCAGTCAAAGCTGCCCCTAGCATTCTGAGGTGCAGATTTCATCATGCACCTGTTCCTATGGAGTGGGGACAGACCCCCTGAAAGATATTCTGTTTAACCAATTCCTTTATTGAGAACCATCAAGCCATAAATCCTCTGCTTTACTAGTATTCAGCTCGTTATAGCATGCAAACACCATTTCAGCTCAATTAACAATCCTAGCACTAATTTAAATCATGAGGGGGGGAAAAATCCGGTACTATAACTGATGCCAAACTAAAATTGATTGATCCATGCAGTAGAAAGCAGAAATCTTGGTTTGATCCTAAGAAGATCACTGATTTAGAGCTACAAAATCCTGCTGTTACTTCCTTGCTTGTATCCTCCATAATTTCCTTCTAATTGTCTCAAGAATTTAGCAGACAATGTTCCTGAAATGCAAAGCATGTGCAATTGTTTAGAATTTTAATTGGTGTTTACTTTTTGTCTGCAACGCGTCAAGAAATCTGTGTCTGAGAGACAGAGTAGGATCTGTGGCTTTGTCTTATTAAGAGGATTGCATGTATTATAGTTCTGACTGCAACAGCAGCATGATTGCCAAAGTATAGTTTGGATTGTTTCATTGTGCCAGATGCCTCTTTGCATTAGAAAATGCATAGCCTAACAGAGATAAGCCTCTGTGGTGAGCTTTTATGCCAAGTGTTTGAGTTCTAGTGCTTTGTCTCTATAAGTGATTCAGTCTCTCACAGGACTCTTCCACACAGCTGAATAAAATCCCATATTACCTGCTTTGAACTTGAAATCAAGTTGTGCCTTACAAAGTTTGCCTCAAAACCTTCTGCTGGGGAAATTCCATACAATCTCATCACACTTACTATTCTGGGGATGGAGCCCCCCCCCCCCCCCACTGGCCATCACACAATGTTGTGTGACTTCCAGCAGAGGGACCACCATTAACCAGGGTGGAAGCATCCTTGGACACTCTCTCACAACATAGGAGGCTTCTTGTGTTGTGCTCCTCCCTAGAAGGTTGTAGTGAATCTACTTTAGTTAGGTTTGTTTTAGGCCTAGAAAAAATGATAGGCCCAGAAGACAGCAGCCATCTTAGAGAGAGATGCCGAGGGACTCCGTTATGGTGGATCATTTTCCAGGAGAGGGCGTATATATTTAAATCAGCCTTTGGAGGGAAAATGAGAGAGGAATTTGATTGGCCAAGTCAGAGGAGGCAGAGGAAAAAACTTACTTTTAAAAAGAGGTTTTTGAGATCCCTGAGAGGAGTTGGAGTTTGGAGTTTGAAGAGAAAAGGTGTTTAGGTGTGGAGTGGTTGTTAGGGTTAGTAGTAGAGGCCTAGGTCTGGCCAGAAGATTTCTAGCAGGGTAGCTGAAGCAGTCTTGTAACTAATAGGAAAATTAGCTGAGTGGTAGTAGGATAGTATCAGGGAAGATCTATCTGGGCTACTGAAGATTCTCTCGCAGAGACACTGTCCTGTTAGGTTTCTTGTTTGTGTTTGGAGAGAGAAGATTCTCTGTGTAACAAAGATAGAACCGTTCTTGTAACCATCACGCTTTTAAGACAGTATTTTTGAAACAGCCAAGCTTTTGTACCTGATTTAGTCAAGCCCTCTCAAAATAAACCTCATTGTTTTGTTACTCAAGCATCTGCCTCACGTGAGCCTCTGTGTAGAAAGTTTTAAACAACAGTTTTATGGAAGAAGTTAGAAAAACAGATTCTTTTCTTTTGGTGACAGCGAAAACTTAAAAGCTTATTTATAGAGAATCACCTCAGTCTAGTATTTTAAATGGTGGCAGCAATTTGAAGTTTATTTCTGTCTTTAACAAGTTCAAGTTTTAAATGCCCTAAGCCTAAACTCTCTTTACAAAGGGCAATGATTCCCACGTGTGATGGGGAAAGTGTCACCTAGAGGGAACTGCACGTAGAGTGTCAGATTAATCCTGCTGCCCCTCTCTTTCCTCCGCAAAATCAAGCAAAGTGGGACACTGCACCTGGCCTTTGTGATAAGCTCATAAGTTCCAAAGTTCAAAGCCCTGATATTCCTACAAATGTATTTAGTTACCATTGAAAGTGGACTGTGGACTGCAGAGTGAGATGGCCACTGCAGATAGCAGGACTGTTCCCACACCAAAGATGCCCCAGCATTGCTATCATAACTCCCTCTCTATCACTCCAGTGCTTTGCCTCCCTTGTTTTCCTGATCACATGGCTATATGTTTCCTATGCTTATTTGTCATTGTTATTTGCCTACCTTACCCTCTATATAAAACGGTGTCAGGCATGTAAAGTATCCATGACATCTTTAAGTAGAGCCAATGCTATTAGGTTACCATTTTTCTACATAGGACAGCTGAAACCCAATGGTGGTAGATGAAGTGTTGGAGAGATCAGATGAACACAGCGGTGAGCATTCTTCTCCCACCTCAGGAAGCAGGAAAGCTTAAGTCCCTAACTGTGACTTGAAGAGAAATAATTTGCATCAAATTGTTCTGAAAATTGTGCTCTGTGTGTAACTTTAAAAAAAAAGGAAATGAACTGTTTCTGAAATATTGAATATGACCTTTGTCTACATCTTATTTCCTCAGACATTGAAAAGTGGTTCAGGAGTTATGCAGGTTTTAGGCTTGGTCCTTGCATTTGGAAATTACATGAATGGTGGAAATCGAACAAGAGGACAGGCGGATGGGTTTGGATTAGACATATTGCCCAAACTGAAAGATGTCAAGAGCAGTGTAAGTTTAGCTTCCACTCATTTGCTTCAGTTGCCACAGTTTTTTTTTTACATTGCGTCCTTTAGCTCAGAGTCCCTTATGATTATCTTATTAATTAAATGGAAAGTTGAACACATCTGTTATGGATATATTACTTAAAGCATGTTTTCATACTCTGAGATAGACTCCAGATTCAAGAGTTTAGAATCAACCATTTATTTTTGTACAAAGGAAAAGTTCTGTAGTTTGATTATTTTTTTTACTTAATTCCTATTCTTGTATTACATATAGATAATTTTCTTCTTCCTTTACATCTGAAATACAAATGAACACATCAATTTATATTTTAAAAAATTACAATCTGAGAAAATCATCTACCGCCATTCTCACCCTCGGTCTGAGAATGGCAGTATATAAATATAGTTAATTAAAAAAAATGAGCAAGGAACTATATAACATATAAGAAAAAGACCAAGAGTCATTGTCTTTAGATAACAAATAATAATAAGTAGTATCCAAAGCTGGACTTCTAGTAGTGAAACAGTGGAGCCCAATGGAAATGAAGGGAGATGATCCTTTTCCCCACTACATTCACTGTTGGAGTTTTGAAAGACTGGAAACCTACTCCCCTGAGCTAGTTTTCCATTGTCATGGAGAGTTATAGAAGAAGGGAGAAAAAATAAGGTGTTTATCCTCTGTGAATCCACTCCAAAACACACCGACTGCTCTGAGGCCTCCAATCCCCTCATCACTGCTGTCCAGATCTTGAATACCAATTAGGTATTGCAACATTTTGGTCAAAAATAGAGTCTTCCTTGCTTCTTCTATTTTATTTATGAGAAGTGATAGAGAATTCAGGAATTTCTCTATGTTCCTGCATGTTCTGTCTACTGACTCCCTGTTAAACTTACATGTATTAGGCAGACCCAAGAATGGGAAGGGCCAATGCAGTTTCCACCTTCCATGAAATGTAGACTTTGAAAACATAAGAGGGATTATTTATAGCATCATCTGATATGATGACCACTATTACATGTAGGCAATAATTCTACTAGCATATTATACCATACAGATATAAAATCCATCATTCTAGTAATTACATTTTGTGTGTAATCATGGAGTGCATAAAAGACCCAGTGAGACTGAACAACTACTATAATTTCTTGCTCATTCTGTCTTGTTACTTCATCTTCATATACTGTAATGAACATTCATTAAACTGTGGACATGCCTTTGAGGTTAGTATTGTTTCCTCAGTCCTTCTTTAACATGCACTTTAGCTCTTACTTTTATCAGAACAATCATAGTGCCCTCTTCCTCTTTCAAGTAGACTTTACCTTATAGTTTAATGATCAATTAAATGTATAAAACTAAAATAAGAACAACTCTAGCATTTATCTGATACATGGATGTATTCAAACATCCTAATTTAATTTTGCCTCTACACAGGACAACAGCAGAAGTCTTCTGTCATACATTGTCTCCTACTACTTGCGCAATTTTGATGAGGTGGGTAAATAAAGCCCTTTGTCTTATTTAGTTTCTTTTTAAAGTTTTATAGTTTAATTCATCATCTTAAGAGGAACAATGGATGAACATCATTCTACCAGCAGATATGTGCTGTGGGACTTCCTCCTCTCCTTCATCCAACAGCTTTCCTTGTCATTGGAAAATATGCCCTTGAGGTTTTTCCAAGCCTCCAGAAAAAATTTGCAAAGCACAAGAAACCACAAAGAAGGAGTGGGAAATCCATTGGCAGAAAAACACCTTGTGATTCAGTTGGTTGGTTGGCTTAGTTTGATAAATATATTTTGTTATGTTAAATGTGTTTTTGAAGTGAAATAAGCCAAATAAAAAAACAGCAAAAACCATTGTGAGGATTACAGTTAGACTTCCTCCTCAACAACATCAGTGACCAATACCTGTCAGAGTGAGCCATTCAAATACTATTGAATTGCCATTTATCTTTACATGTAATTTGATTTATTCATTGAATTGTGACATTCATATGCTGCTCCATAACCAGTTCTCTGTGTGACTTCCACTAAAAATATCAATATATCATCCAACCATGATATATCAATAATAATAATAATAATAATAATAATAATAATAATAATAATAATAACACTTTATTTGTACACCGCTACCATCTCCCCAAGGGACTCGGTGCGGCTTACATGAGGCCGAGCCCAAACACAACAATACAAGCAATAATAACAACAACACAAGCAATTAAAAACACATAGACAATAAGAAACAACATTATCAATAAAACAACACATAGTTAAAAACAGTGGGAAGGCCAAATGTTAGGTTAAAATTGGAAATAATGCTAGGACATGAACAGAAGGTGATACTGGTGTTTGTGGAAGGGCATACGAGCAGACTTAAAGAAATGTAAAGTGCTTTGGAGGACAAAGTGCTATGGGGTCAATATAATTATTCAGCCATAAAAATACAAATTCAATATTGAGCAAAAAAKAAAAGGTCAACGAAATACAAAGAAGCAATTCATCAGTAAAAGGTTGTTAAAGATGGAGGGGGGGGGGGGGATTTGGAAGCCTGACTCAGTCTTTGCTGAAAGGAATGTAGAATGGGCACCAGGCAAGGGTCTCTGATGGAAATTTTCATTAACAAAGTGTTCGTGGCTACACCTCACTTGGCAAAGGACATGGAGAAAGGCTACCAAAGATTACCTCACTGTCTGGGTGGGAAGAAATGACCCATGTCACCTGGCATCAAACTGTTTGGTGCTTTATGGATTGAAATCAGAACTTGTTCTTCAGAAATTGACCAGAGGCCAGCCAAGATGACAAAAGTTATATATGAATGTATCCATTCATGTTTAACAATCTTGCCACCTTGTTCAGGTCTAATCAAAGTTCCCAGAGTATTTTCAGAGACTGTTGTTCACATTAACTTAAGTCTTCCAAAACGAATAGCGATGACAAAATTATTTCTGTCCTGAAAGAGTTCCAGGTGGCTTATTAGCCTCAACTCGTAAAAGGTACTTGGAACCACATTGATATTTAATGGCAATTGTAAATCAATGAGTACCTCTAAATTTTGAATCTGAATCTTATTGAGGAAGTTCACCTTTTTCAGAGTGGGCTGAATACTATTCAGATGTACAAATAATCATTCCAGTCACAATAACTGTATCTTGGCCAGACAGAGGCCCCAGTGTGCTTCCTTCATATAGTCTTGGGTCAACTCTTCGGGATTTGATAAAGCAAGAATAGAAGGTGGGTGTCATCAACATGTTAGTGACATGTCACACCTCATCATTCACCATGGCTAGGGCTCATTGGAGTCACAATTCAACCTTTGGATGTCGCATCTTGCTCCTTTCTGTTGTATATAATTGTACAGATATAAGCCTGAGTCATAGTGTTAGTAATCTTGATGAACACAGACAATGAAACTGAGTTCATATTTTAATGTAACAAGATATATTTTGTGGCCTCTTCTTGTTCCTCATTTGGAGAGATACAACTCATCCACTCATCTGAGACTTCAGCCAAATGAATATATTACAAATTTTGGCTCTTCTTTTCCATCAGCACACACTAAGTCAGTGGTTCTCAACCTGGGGTCCCCAGATGTTTTGGCCTACAACTCCCAGAGATCCTAACAGCTGGTTAACTGGCTGGGATTTCTGGGAGTAGTAGGCCAAAAACATCTGGGGACCCCAGGTTGAGAACCACTGCACTAAGTCATTAAGTGATATTTCATGGCTAATTTGCCTGTTTTATGATACTCTTATTCATAGAATTATTGTAGAGTAATGACAGAGCATTTCTTAGACACAGTCTTTGACTTAGGCACTATGGTGTCTATCTCAGTTTTTTCAATATATTGACCATATTTATTTTATGCTTTGTCAGGATGCTGGAAAAGAGCAATGCACCTTCCCTCTTCCAGAGCCCCAAGATCTTTTTCAAGCTTCTCAGTTAAAGTTTGAAGAGTTTCAAAAGGATCTCCGCAAACTTAAAAAAGACTTGAAAGGTATGTAGCTTTTTTGAGGTTCATTGTTGCTTCTCATTTGAAATATACCCAGAAAAATGACTGTTGAAGGTATTCAGCATGTGCTAGCAATCCTAAATAAATAAACATCTCTCCCCCCCCCAATTTAATTCAATTTAAAGCCCTTATTATCACATTTTTGAGATGCCTAGCAAATATATTATTTCCAACTCATGTTGTGTTAAAGGTTATTCTTCATAAATGCATAGGTCATGGTCCAAAAAGCCAAATGAATTTCAGTGGTTATTAGGCTACAGTTTTATAAACCCTTACCTGGAATTAATTTCTATTGAAATTAATGAACGTTATCCATGAGTAAGTATATCTATTAGTATATCAATGTCATTTCTACCAGTTCTATGTGAATATTGTGTATTACTTCTGTTACTTGTCACTTTGTAGATAGGAAGTAAGTCTTAGCAGCTTGGTTGAATATTAGAACTTTTGATATTGATTCTTCCCTAATAATTTAGGTCTGCCCCCTCTCCCTTAGCCTTTTAAATATCTGAAAATTGTGTAATCCTCCTCCATGCTGTCCCTCTATTGTCATATACCGGTATATTTAATATCCCCACATCCTTTATCCTGAGGGTTGTGCATGTCAGATCTCTCTACATCAACCATACCGAGTACATCCTGACTGTCATGATATTCTAAAACATAATATTCCTTTTCCCATATGTAATTTGGGATCTGATTGAAAGCATGCAAGGTTTAAAAAATCAGATGGTACTTAAGAACATGTTTAAAAATAGAGCTGAAGCTTAATGAGTTTGTGCAACAACATAAAGAGTTTATCATACTGTGATGATCATCTCCCGGAAGACTGGGCACTGCTGGACAGAATACATTCCTCCTGTAGCATTTCCCCCATATTCTGAACACATTGACACATACATGCACACTCACACATTTATAGACATACATATCTGCTAACATCTGGAGAGAAGAAGAAGAAGGCACAATGCATAAGCAAAAATCTGATTTTTAGAGTGTCTGACTTTAAACCTACTCTGTAATTGATTTCTAAAAGTAAAACCCCTTTCTTGCAATGAAAACTAAGTTTGCTGAAGTATGTTTTTCTACCTGTAATTTATTTATGAATTAAAATATTTCTACCTTGTCCTGTATCACAAGATTTTATGTGGTGTTCACATAAAATAAAAAAGGTAAGAACAATGAGAGTAATTTAAATATGCTAAAAATTTATTCAATATTAAAAATTTTAACAAGTCATAAGAGGTTCAAAAGGTTAAAACAGTTTAAAACCATGTGCAAGCCTTATGAAGCAAATCACTTTGGCCCAGAGGCTATAATAATTGGATGCTTCAGGACACTGCATTCAAGTTGTGGCGTCTCCTGATCTAGCAAATAGTAACGTGAGTTGCTACACCTGACTGCCTCGGTGTGTTGGCTGTCTGTGTGAAACCATGCAAACTTACAATCGTATTTATAATGCAAAATGTTTTCTTTATGCTGCATAATCAGGATGTTAAGCTCGGGTGCACATGTGCTTAAAAGGGAATTCATTGTTGGTTTTCCTTAAAGGGAAAGATTGTTTACATGCACACTCACACACCTATTTCTCTATATTTGTCTGCCCATTTTCTTCTTATTTTTTATTCATTCTGATTTTCCCTATTTTATGAGCATTAAGTACTGACTTTTGCTAATATCTGTGAGTGGGGAAGGTGTCACAGGCATGAAAATACCCAACTTTTCATTTATTTATTTATTGAGGACCAGGGCCTTCTATTGAAGCAGGATTTTCATTTGTAGTTTCATCAAGTATTTATTTTTTTTGGATCATCCTGCTTATCTGTCACCAATTTCTACTTCTTTTGTTTTAAAGCCTTATGTGTCTGGACATTAATCTGTTATGTACCAGACATTTGAATAAACAAAGGACCCTAGACAGTGAGGCATTTTATTAATATATCTACTAGTTTGGCTCCATCGATTGCCCCTCGATTTCACAGCTCTCCAGGATTCTCAGTTTAGTCTTTCTCAGTTCAGTGACATATAGTTTGTTAAGCAACCTGATCTGCTTTTGATCTCCCTTGGCTGTCAGCAGACCTCCTTGATGCAGTCATGCGCTGTTCTAACTTTCAGTAATGCTGTCATTCCAGACTTTAAATGTTAGTACTTGCTGCAAGCCTTAAAACAACTTGCTCTTAAACAGCATTGGGCAGCTAGAGCCAAGGAAACAATATAGGAATATTTAAGTTTAAATGTTGAGTATTATTCTGCAGCCATTCTATTACTTTGACACATACATGCACTTCAGTATTCATTCATCTTGAAATGATTGATATAATTTTCCACACAAATTTCAGTACATTTTAAAAGCATAACATTGCAAACTTATGAGTTTGATAAGAGCTATTCCTAGAGAAATGTATATAAGATGGCAGCTTGAGTCCAACTGCTTTCAGGGGCTCCTAAAAATTAGTCTTGTCATAGACATTTTAATTATTGTGCTTCCAAAGTATTTTTGCACATTATTTCACCCCAGTTACTGACTCACATTTCAATCTATCCTGCAGGGTGCTGTTCTCTTGTGATACTATATATTGAAAACAGTCAGGTTGCAAAAATCATGCTCTTGAATCATGATCGTATTTTAATATTTTATCTGAGCACTTTGCTAAGAAACTTTTCAGTCTGATGCTTTCCTTGGCTTCCTAGCCATTCCTCTACTTCTTTGGTGCCATTCATCTGGGTTCCTGATCACATGCTCTTCAACATTTCACAGATGACATATGTGACTGAACAACATCAATGTGTGATCAAGGTGGCAATAGTTATTAATAACAATGAGCAGACAAGCTAGGAGGGGATGCATCCATTTTTCTCAGAACCTTCTCAGAAGGCCTCTTCCAATTGTTAAGATAACTGAGCAAAAATGATTTTTGCAGCATTGTATTCAGTTTGAAGTAAAAGAAGTGAGCTTAAGGACAAAAGGAAGAAGTTGGGAGATGACAGAAAAACTGTGTCAATTCATAAGCAGACGGAAAGTGGGATGATAGGGGACTAATCAGGGCTGTTCCAGCCAAAATTGAGATACTTGTGGGGTGGGGGGTGGGGGATAGCCACCTGTCTGCAGAGCAAAATAGAAGTGAGACCTGGAGATGGCTGCACTCAGAAGTAGAATTACGACCACAAAGAGAGGACAGTTCCAAAGAGAAAATAAACATTCGGAATGAAAAAAAGAAGGCAAGATTTAGTTATGCGGTTGTGCAGATCCATACTAGGTTCTTTTAGGTTTACCAGCTCCAACCTAGGAAAATATGTGTGGGATCAGTAAAGGGACCCTACTATAGTAATCTCATTAATTTTACATGTTAGTCATCAGATCTATATGTAACTTGCTTTGAGTAAAACTTCATTTTGTCCAGGTCACTATTATATAAATAAAGGGTTTTTAATTATATTAATATGTGACAATATTCTCTTTCAGCATGGCATCATTTGACAAGTAAAAATCATTTTTAAAAGAGGGTAGTACTTAAAAGCTTCCAGAATGTATATAGACATTTTCCATAGTGGGAACATAGCTAATTTTAGGCATAAAGGAGAAAGTGGTGTATCCTACATTCTGGGATAACTGGATAAGCTGCAGTCTTACCATGTTCAAAAGACTCTTCAAGCATATTAAATGTTGAGTTATAGTAATTTGTTCCTCTTAAAAGTACTGCATGGCACGGACTTTAATGATGATAGTGCTACACAGACAATAGTTATTACAACTGAAATTACTAGGTTAAAATGCAGGTAAACAATTCTTTTTGAAGGAATGTTTTATTTTTTCCTCTACATATCTGCCTGTTATAATTATTTATTATACTTATTTATATCCCACTTTCTTCCCTTAAACACTAAAAAAACAGTACAAATTACACATACACAATTGATCATTTCTGCATGGAGAAATTAAGCAATAAAAACAGCATCAATTGGGGAATTGTTGGACCACTTTTCTCCATTTGATCACTTTTTCTAGCATTGAATAATAGCATTGACCTATAGCAGTTAAAAAGATGTCCAACTGCATTGATTCTACCCTGTAGAGATATAAATAAAAATAAACATAATTATAGTAGTAGTAGTAGTAGTAGTAGTAACAACAATAATAATAGATGCAGCCTCAGACACAGAATTGACATGTAACAATATACTAAGGCTAGAATCTCAAAGGATGACATCCAGCATTCCACATGTACTGCTCATTTACAGTTAAAGTAACAGGACTACTAAACCCATCAGTAGCTTGCATTACTGCATTGCCTCATAGAACCCTGCTGGGACTAGTTGATGCTCAGTACTTCACCTACATACTTCAGTAGCTTCTGCAAACATCATTGAAAGGGTTAAATGACTGGAACATTTCTTCATGCAGACTCCTAAACCGAAACCATATGGAAAATAAAGCCAGGATTTCAGTCAATCTGTGAGTCATGTTTTACTGTCCTTAAAATTCCAAACAAGGAGTTGTCTGCAGAAGCTTTGAAGCCCCTACAGTCCTTAGCAAAGTCTTAACAATACCAAAAATAATAATAAAAGAAAACTGAGAAGCCTTTCTCTTCTGATGAAAAAGTGTGCCATTCAGATAAATCAGGCTTCATTTCCTTGCATTAAATTCAAGGCTCCCTTTAAAATCTTCAACGTCAAGCATTTCTATATGATTTTGAGGTAATCAGATCAGATGCAAGTATGTCATTTGAAAAATATTTAGAAAATCACATTCTATATGTATATTTTTAAAAATCAGTAGAAAGAGGGTTCCAAATATCAGAAGTGTTTATTTTTTCCCCTTGTTTAAAGACAGATTTCTAAAATTTAAATTTTAGAAAATTGATTGTGATAGAATTGGTTAGAGATTTTGATAGAAGTGCTTTTGAACTATGGTTCCACACAAGAACACATACACACAAGAAGATAGATATTCCAGATATAAAAGTCCAACTGTTTGGCCCATTGTTTAGAATTAAGAGGTATATAGGTTTCAGGTTGTACCTACCTCTGCAATTAAGGAAGAAAAACAATATTTGCTTCCCATTTCTGAAGTTTCTTTGAGCAATTAAGAAGGGTGAAAATTTTCTTTACTTAATATGGATCGTTTACCAGACACATCAGAGGTGAACACTTTCTCCTGTCTCAGAAAGTGCTGAAACAACATTTCTGAATTTTAGCCAAAAACAAGTTCAAGATACACAGATGTAACAAAAAGCCTACTTTTGATCATTGGTTCTGTATATATGGCGTGGCTATGGGGTGGAGGTTGGTGTCACACAAACTACTAATCCTGGATTTAGAGTGGCAATTAGCAGGGCTTTTTTTCTGTTTGAATGTCGGTTTTGCTCAAAAATGTGGAGGTTATGGAGGCTTTGAGTTCAGTCAAGACCTGGGGGAGGTTGCAGAAAGGAGACTGGGATTACATAGAGCCCACAAACCATACTCTCCCTACCGCTGATATACATGCAGCTCTGTGTGGCTTTTTTCTGCTTTCCAGTGGTGCTCAGAAAATACATCAGTTTTGCTAGAAGAGGGAACAGAAGTTAGAGACCACATAAGCTATCAAAACAAGTTTGTATTGCACTGCAGCTCCTGCATTTGCTGTGAAATTGACTTAACTTAGCATTTGTTTAGGCACTGAGCCTATAAACACTTCTATGTATTTTTAACTTTGTAACCATGAATGGTTTCATTGAGGTCAAGAAAATTCACATGGTACTGTAGTTAAGCATGTTTACATGTGTGTGTGATCTAAGCCTCAGCAAATTACTGTAACCAAGTAGTCTATGCCACAAAATTTAGAAATATCATTTGTGCTCTTTCATTTGCGTAAGTTGATTATGCTTCAAAAGCCTGTCCCTGTGAAACAGATGCTGTGTTTATATGTTAGTTTCTTACCAAACAGTTAATAGTTAATTCAGTTCACTTTAAATAAAAAGGTTCAGCTATCAAACCAGTCTAAAATTCTGTCTAATTCTTAGGCCCTACTGGTGCCAGTAGACACCAAGCTATTTTGTTTTAACCAAGAATTCTTAGCAGTCTGCCTCATATTGACTCTTCTCCTTTAGCGACACTTATAAAATACCGTATTGGGGTGTTTTTTTTTAAAAAACTCTATCCATGTGGAATGTATGCTTCTAGAGAAGTAATATTTTAAAAGCATGTAAGTAGTTAGTATAAATTCTCCTAAACATTTTTAAACAACTAATTCCAGTTTTTGCCAAATGCAATCTTTTTAAATTGTTATGAAGTCTGACAAAGTGCAATCATGACAAGGCTTTGATTTAGCCTGCCTTGACATTCTGTTGTAATCAACACTTTAACAAAGAGTTCAGATGAACATCTTAATAAAAATTGGTCTGCATTTGAAGAATGCCAACAAGTTCCAAAACCACCAGTGAAAGAAAATAAAACAGCTGTACAATGCTCATTATTTAAAGTAACTTCTCAAAGATTTTTCATTTAACTTTTATTATTTAACTTTTATTTGAGCATCAAATTTCAGTATCATAACTGAATACTGTAAACTGGTAACATGATCGATGTGTGATTCCATTCCCATGATGAACAAGCATGCCTGGATCATTTTTTCCAAGTACAGTTTTAAAGAAGATGGCCTACATTCAGTTACTAATCCCGGCTAGGATAAAACCACTGAACTATTTGCTGAAGGGGTAAACCAATGGGTTCCATAGATATACTGCAACTGGCTGATGATCATGCCATCTCAATAATGTAACCTGAAAGGAAGATCATGTGCTTGTACTTTTCCTACAGGTAGTCTCAATTTGAGAAAGAGACTGTGTGTTTGGAAAGAACAAGATTTCATAAGGAATTGTGACATGGGTTTATCACATTAAATGATTTATGCTATGCAGAAAGAAAGCATAGCATTCTTTCACACTCAAATTTTGTTATATTCTTCTTAAAACAAACAAGAAGGAAAATGCTCCATTGCTTTATGCTCAAGTTATGTTCTCAGATCAAAATGCAATATTTTATGAGGGAAGCATGGCACATTTAAAAAGTGACATGTAAATGAATTAGCCTGACCTCCTCCTTCTTTCTCAGTCTATACAATCTATTCCATTCTGCCCTTGATGGCTTTTAGTTAACTGAAGTTACTCTGACTGTACCAAGCCAAGACCTGATAGCAAGGCATTTCATCTTATGACATTTTGAATAGACAAAACAGTTATGGCAGGCCATTCTTGCTTTGCTGGAGCCAACAGGTCATAGGATCAGACTCTGGGTGAAAATAAAGGGGTGGGGGGAGAAAGTTGTTTGTAATTAATAGCATTGTAATCCAAAGTTGTTACTTCAATTTTCAGCATGTGAGACAGAAGCAGGAAAAGTTTGCAAGTTTTCTTTGGAAGAGCACATTCAGCCCTTTAAAGACAACATGGAGAAATTCATTAGTCAAGGTAAATAATGACATGTCATTTAACCTTTCCACATTTTGTCAAAATAAGGTTATAGAAACAATGTTTAGACATGGTGAGTAAAGGGTCTATTTACTTTGGAACTGTAGAAATGTGTAGATTAGCTTCATCAGATAGTCTTTCATTTCCAAACAGCTTTACCTGTGTGGTATTACATTTCTGAATGATAGTAAATGCAATTGCCAGCTTTTAAACGTAACTCTCTGTTGGGTTTTTATTCTATATGGAGAAAAGTGTTTGTTTTTTTACAGCTTTATAAAACTGGGAGCTGGAGTTGTACATTGACTTGTCTCCAAGACATGGCTACATTTTCCAAAGTACCAAAAATATGGTATAGTGAAAACTTCTGTTTTTTTAAAACTTGCAAATTGCCTTTGAAATGCCACATGTTTTGGAAACAAAATCTAAAGAATTGTATAAAATGCTAGAGACACATTTGCAAAAAGTCCCACATATGTCAACTTGTAGCCAATGAATCACTTCTCACCATTCCAAGAGTTTTGGGAGTGAAGTAGAATGGAAACCGGCCAAAAAATCTAAAAATTGGGCTTAGATGTCCTATAACATGAATCTGATTATTATTACACTTTTTCCACTTCTGAAAGATGGATGGATGAAAAGATAGAAACGTAATATCCCTATTATTGTTATTATTAATTGTTGTTATGGGTTGAAACGGAGATAGAAACATTGTAGCTTTTCTTCCATGATTGCCTGTCTTTGAATATGTAACAGAAATGTCTCACTTAAAAACTTGAGAACTAGATATGTAATACTTGGCAATTTCCTGCTAGGACAAAAACTTACAAAATGACTCCCTTTTTTTACAAAATTCACACTCCTCCCCCTCAAAAAATATTTTTCTATGCAGAAATACTGTTTTCCGTGCAGAAATGTGTCTTTTGCAGAATGTGTCTCCAGCAAAAAAGCATGCGGGGAATGCGGAAGTACTCCATCAGTGTCGCAGATGGATGATGAAAGCGACAGCTCTCTTGGCGGCCAGAAAAAGTTAAATAGCCTCTGACTGTCTATGTCGTGTGTCTTTGGCATTGAATATTTGCCATATATGTGTACAATCCACCCTGAGTCCCCTGCGGGGTGAGAAGGACGGAATATAAATACTGTAAATAAATAAATAAATAAATAAATAAAATACTGTTGTCAGTTACTGTTGTCAGTTACCTATTCCACATAAAACATGCAAATGAATGGATGAGTGAGCAGGCACACCTCAGCAACCGCCTCAAAGGTGGAGGTGGATGGCTGGTGGCAAAAAGTATCAGATTTTGAAGCATTTAAAAGGTTTTGATTTTGAATTAGGGACACTCAACCTGTATATGTTTTTGCTGTTTTGTCTACTTTTTTAGAAAATACATGTTTTGGCAGCGTTTTATTGTGTGAATTGTCTCACAATCTCAGTAGTTTATATACTACAAATTGAATTCAACTCTGAGAAATGAGAATTGGGAAAATTCTGGTCAAATATTGACTTGGCTAGATCTGTCTGAATCTAACTCAGGCAGCTATTAGGAATTGTGGGAGTTAAAGTCTAAAACACCTGGAGGGCAGCAGTTTGCTCATGCCTGATCTAACCTGAAGGGAGCTCCTTTGCTTCCCCTGAAAGGATCACTATAGGCTCTTAGATGTTCCCAATGTTCATCATGAAACCTACTTAGTCCTTTCCCTAACTTATCAGTTAAGCAGCAGACTTCCCTTCTCTTTGTTGCTATGCTTCATTCTGATTGTCTTCCTTTAATGCAATATCTTGGATGGAGAAACAGAGAACAGGATCATGGACAAAGTAATTCTTCTGAAGGCTGCTCACTACTATTAGCCCTGAGCTGATATGGCTCTTATATATATATAACAGGAAATGCCCCCATTCTTTCATTAATCCAGTAATTCCTGCTACCATTACTACGATCTCAGAAATTTTTGTAGATGGAATAGGATGAATTATCCCCAAGCTGCAGATTTCCTTTGAAAGACCTTCTGAGTTCTTCCAAATTGTGGCAGCAGAGAAAGAGAGAGCATTTTGATTATCTTAAAAGTGCTTGTCCACCTGTAATCAGGAGATGAAAATGGACTAGGAATTTGGTGCAGAACTAACTTGTAAATGATATAGTAGATGCATTTGGATCTATACCAAGAAACCGCTAGAAGATATGGGAACTGTGAACTTAGAAACACATCTTTAACTCTAAATTACATACCTCCAAACAATATATCCTTGAAGTGGAAAAATTGTGACAAATGAATATTCCCAACTTCTTTCTGCAAGATAATGTGAACTTGAACAGCTACCACAGGAACAGAAACCATGTAACCCTCCAAAAAACTGGACTGTAATTTCCAGTTCAACTCATCGGGGATGCTTTGAATGCAATTTTCCTGCTTCTTGGCAGAGGGTTCGACTGGATGGCCCATGAGGTCTCTTGCAGCTCTATGATTCTATGATTCTATGATCCACCTGGGGAAAGCATGTTTCCTACTCCATTTTTCCAACTGGGAGAATGATACTTCAGAGGTTAGTTGCAAAAGAAAACAAAATTAAACTGCCTTACAGCAGCGGGATTAGGACAATGAAATAGTAATGGGAAGGAGTGTATATTACTTTCATGTCCAGTAATTCTGCTCTCAAGAGTTTCTTTCACCCATATTTGCCTCCCTAGAAAATTATGGACGGAACATATATATATATATATATATATATATATATATATATAAAAACTTTAAGGCAAAGTTTAGCACAGAAAAGACAGATGTAGCATGGGGGACCTCTTTCATTCAGTTCCAAAAATAAGTAATGTTCTATACTTCTAAATATGAAATCCTTTTGCTTTTATTTGGCTGCAATGAATTCACACTTGAAAGAGTTCATGTAGTATTGCTCTTCCCTCCATAGTCTTTCACAGGCTTTTGATCTCAATATTTTTTCCTAAGGGCTTTTGTTCTTTATGTAGCCTTAATTGATGAGTTATTTTACCTAATGGCACACACAAAGATAATTTATGAGGAAAGGGAAGGTCACTTTTGGCACCTCTGAAAATTTGTAGGTTTATATAGGTGTGACTGTGAAAAATAAGATGGAATTTCCAAACATTTTTGTAGTTTAGTTAACATTCTCTGAGTATACTGTTTTTCAGTTCACACTATGTGGTTTCCTTTTCTTAGTCAATCTGTTTATTTCAATATCTGATCTTTTATTTGTGATTCTCTGTGTTACTCTAGACATCCTTATGGGCTATCTGTTATTTATATATCTAAAAGTAAATTTAAAGAAAAATGCCTTTAAATGTTTTCCAGTACACAAGGAATTTTTAAGTAATAAACAGTAGCAATGCTGCTTTAGAAGAAACATAATTCTGAGCTTTCTATTATTCCACAGTTTCAGGTTTCTTGCATCTAGAGAACCACACCATACATGATATAGGTCAAAGATATGGATGTCACTTATAGACTACTAGTCCTAAGAAAATATAGCCAAACTCTTTTTGATACTTGTTAGATCAAGCTGCTTTGCTACCAGTTTGCATAATGAACTCATTTGGCATTTCCTAATACAAATGTGGCCTGAATACTATATCATTTTTTACTATAGTAGTCCCCTATTGTTTAATGCTTTTGACAGCTTCAGGGTGGTAGGGTGTATTTTTCTTCTTCTAGACTTAGGAGGAAGAGACTTATGCTCTTGTTGCATATTTATTTTGGGATTTCCCCCCTTTTTTGAATGATAACATGATCAGATTTGTGCAGCTGATAAATTTATGCTCTGCCAATATTTGATCTTGTAAGAAATACAATAAAGAAGAATAAGCAAAATTGGGAGGGTTTTAAAATACTCATCTACTAAATCTAACATGGATCTTGGTGTATATATCAGCAATATATGTTTGTTAGACAAACATACATTTCTCTATTAGTAAAAGTATAAAATCTATTAGGCATACAGTCAGCCCTCCACATTTGCTGAGGTTAGGGGCTGTAGTCTTATCTCTCTTTTATCCACAATCAAAATAAAAAGCCTTCCAGTCTATGCCCCGTAAAATAATGAATGAAAATTCTGAAAAGCAATGCTTCAATGCTGCTGAACCTGCAGAATTAGATCAAAGCTACCTAAAAAAATCTAAGGATTCTGGCACCATACCTCATTGGTTTTACTCCCATAGCAATGATTCTGCAAAATGACAAATATCTGAACATGCTTGTGTATTATGCATATTTCCTTTTTTGTGTTTGTAGTGCATAGTTCCAATTTGAGAAAAATCTGCATTTCATTTATGAATTTATAGTAAGGGAGAATGGAGAAAAATCTTTCAGAAGCAGACAGAAAGATAAAATATTACCAAAATTGCAATTCAGCAGTGGCATTTATACATAACAATAATGATAATGATAATGATAATATAAAAAACTGGACATGGCCTGATAGTGATCAACTGCATGAATTTTGGCTCAAATATCTAATTAGTCTACATGGAAAAATGGCCCAACAATTCAATGAGATGTTGCAAAAAGGAAGTATCTGTGAATGGTTAACAACTGGGAGAACATACCTGATACAAAAGAATTTAGCAAAAGGAACAGCACCAGGAAACTACAGGCCAATAACATGTCTGCCTACTATGTTTAAACTATTGACCAGCATCATAGCTGAGGGAATTCAAGATTATCTTGAAGAAAATAACATCTTGCCAGATGAATAGAACAACTCCACCGGCTGCCAGTTTGCTACAGGGCATAGTTCAAAGTGCTGGCGTTAGCCTATAAAGCCCTAAATGGTTCTGGCCCTACTTACCTCTCCGAACGCATCTCCTCCTATGAACTGACCAGGACACTAAGATCGTCTGGGGAGGTCCTGCTCTCGGTCCCGCCTGCATTGCAGGCACGCCTGGCGGGGACGAGGGACAGGGCCTTCTCAGTGGTGGCCCCTCGGCTGTGGAATGCCCTACCTGCAGACATCAGATCAGCCCCCTCGCTGT